TGTCTGACGTTTGAAGATGCATATCCTAAAACCAAGATTGTAATAATATTAAAAACGCAAGAAAAATTAAGAAAATGACTTTTTAATGTATGAAAAATTTTGTAGAATATATAAAAATTTGTCAGAATAGAAATCTCAATTATGAAAAATAACGTACCAAACATGGCTAATTGTACCTAAGCATATTGAAATTTGAAAAATATTATGATAAACCTAAAAAATGCAGTGTAGATCATATCTTTTAAAAAGGGATACATGATGAGATTTTAAACACTTTTTTCCTCATCCGTGGCGATATTGGACAGAGAAAAGGATCAATATTGAAATCCTTTATCGAACCGGAGGCGTTGCGCGGTCAAAACTTGCGTCGGTGCACGGGACGCGATAAAATCCCACTGTACCGTGGATATTGAAAAGACCCCCGGTCGACGCTTTACCACTCTTAATTGCGTCGCGATTTGCATACGCCCTTTTTCACTCGCGCGGCAACGAGATACGGTCGGGATAGAGCGAAAGAGGAAGGTAAGCAGGCGAGAGGACGAAGCCAGCCAGGCACATAGATCACGTACGAGGCAGATTGTGGGGTACGGACCAATCGCGGAATCAGGTACACGTGCAGTACGAGACGGTACACGATAGGGATACGTCTTATTATAGAACCCACGGGGTTCCACCTAGCGCTTCCACCGCGAGCGGGAACGGAGATACCAATAGAGGACGGAACAAGGATGAAAAAGAGAGAAGGGACGCGCGGTGGAAGGAAAAGAAGCGACAGGAAAGAGAGAGAGAGAGAGAGAAAGAGAGAGAGAGAGAGAGAGAGAGAGTAACGGAGGGAAGAGAAGGATAGAGAAATGGGAACAGAAAGAAACGGAAGGACAGAACGAGAGATCGGAACGGAGACAGAGAGAAGTTAACGATTACGTTGCAAGAGTCCGCTGACCCGCGAGGTCAACATTGTTACCTTTATTATTGGTACCTAGAGAACCAACTCTCTTCCCTTTCTATCTCCCTCATTTCATCCTTTTATTCCCCTCCGCCATTGCGACGATCAAAGACACTCTTTTCCGAGTGATACTCCGGGCGCTTCCATATAGTTGCGCTCCGAGCCAACGGAGCGGTAAATTTTCACGCGCAGCACGCATACGAGCGAGCTGTCCCTATATTTTCTCCATCCGTCCCGCGAAACCGATACTACCGTGCGCGCCACACGATACAATGTGTCTAATAGAAAAAAAGCGTGAAATGATATACTCGCGCTGCCGTGTGATTCGTTACTCCCTTCTTGTGCTATGTGCTCGCGGGAATTAATATCGGATATTATGGCGTTGCCATCTAAAAAGCACGGTAAAAGTATTCGCAATGATGGATGTGGTTGCTAAAACCGCTGAAAAGAGACATATACTAGAATTTAATAAAGAAACATAGCAAAAAAGCAAAACATCTAGAAATTACTTTTTAGAATAAATGCTTTGTGCTGCGACCTGCGACTACAGACATATTATCAATTTGTCCATTTCGTTGGAATCAAGCTAAACGTACAACAGGGTCATGAAAATCTCTTGTTAGAAGAGCTCTTCGCGAAAAAGCGAGAGAAATGGATCGTTTAACGATTCTCGTACGCACATCGATCTAACGATAGGCTCGGGCTATATAAAACTAATAGCTGATGAATTACGTGCTTCGCTGAAAATCGTGTAAAGTGCGATTTCGCGTAAGTCCTGCTCGCACGTGACTTCCTCCTCGCGCGATACGCTTCCTTAATTATGCAGGGACACGTATACGCGTCACGTATAATAAACGTAGAATGAACAACACTGATAACGAGTTTCCAGATCATCGATTTCGGTCACACGTATACCCGTCCGCCCGCGCATCGATCGATCGATCAGCAATCGCTCGTCTGCTCGTTTCATTTTGATGGTCTTTCGCGGAAAGTTACCAAGAATCGATTGGCAATTACTCTGCTCCGCCGAGTAGAATGATCGAGCTGTGTGATTGATAACGAGATATTACTTTTCTACGAGATAATCATTAACGAGGATGATTTGTTTCCTGCGTACTTCGATGCACTTTATTAATACAGTTTGAGTACACCTAAAGCATAGTACTAGACGAAAGCTAACAGCGACAGAGAAGAAACAGAAGATATTTCTTCTTTACTTATAGTCGTACTTAGCATTTATAGAAACATTTTAATACATATAAGTGGGATATAAACGTATATACATATACTCTTAAAATATAATTGGAACAAAATGGACCTTTACTAAGACATCTTGCATATTATTTCAAATTGTTCCCATTCAAAATTCAGCATTTACGATAAAAAAAGGTATTAAAATAATCTCTCTAAATCTGAATCAGTGAATAGTCACTGATATCAGTGTAAAGATTGTAAAGTATGCCACTTTTCTGAATCAGTGGCATACTTTACACTGAGAATCAGTGACTATTCACTAATTCGCTGTACTGTTCACTGATTCAGATTTAGAGAGATTATATTTACTTTAAAAACAAACAAGAATTATCATGTAATTAGAAAATGGGATGACAGTAAAAAACAGAATAGTCTTTTTTTCGAATACTTTGAAATAACGCGAATATACGCGAATGTCTACAATTCGCATCAAAGCGCACTGATACAGTGATATTTTGAATACGGTATATATGTGTCTTTTTATATTTACATACAATACACACACACACATTGTTAATTTAACTGTTCAAATAATGCGACGTTGATGACTATTGTTATTTACTATGTACTTTGAACAACAAATAAACGGATAAACAGATAAAATTCGATATTGTGTTACTTCCGTCTTGCAAATTTTATTCAGTTTTTCAGGATCCTAATGAACTCATTGTGTAAAAAAATGCAAAGCTTATGCAAGAAAACAGCTTTTAAAATATGCAAAGTATTGCAAATATGCAGTTAAAATTGCATTTCGTGCTGTTAAAGTTAAGAACATTTTTACCGTTGAAACAAAATAATAACAAAAAATAGTTATGAAAATAAAAAGTTTCTCTTGCTATTTACATGATGAAATTTTACCAAGCTTTATATATTCGCCCATAATACAATATTTTTGCGATCTGCATGACCTGGAAAAATGTATTTTTCATGTCTGCGTTCGCGCGTTTGGCTCGGAATAGCGCATATTTTTATTATCGACACGTGTAACTTCGCGCGTTTCCTACTCTCGTACATAACAAAATACATGAAATACGCAACATGTCGAGAGAGGCAAAAGTATACGCTAGACACAAAAATACGGTCCCCCGCTTCTAATGGTCTTCGGTAGATCCTCTGGCAGTAAAGTACGCGAATGCGTTTTGAGAAATATCGATCGGCGCAGACCGAGTCACGAGATCATCGATCTGACAAAAGCAAACATGAATCACGGCGGTTTACAGCCGCGTAAGGCGTTCCGTTCTTCGTTTACCCTGGAACGCTATATCACGCGGTTCCTCGCCGCGTTTTATTACCCGCTGTTATTGTTAGTTGTATGTTTCTCGCCGGGGGCGTAATACCCAAGTGGAATCGAGCGAGGCTCTTAGAGCGGATGATGTAAGAAGGTCGTTAATTATTTTCGGCCCACAGGTACCAGGGCGTAGAAGAAGTGCATGGCCTGCGCTCGCGATTTATCCGCGGCGCAACGAATACGTGATCCATCATGGTGGGTAAGCCTGGATTTTTCAGAGTTCCCTTAAGCTTTATCCGCCGTCGTATCTCCACGGCGTCTGGTCGCAAGCGTCTTCCCACTCTATCACATGGCACTATCGTGCATTTTTTACATTAATACGCTTTAAAGGCAACGCCATAGTAAATAAGACCGATCAGACTTTAGTGACTGTTGATCTACAATTTCCACATTATTTTACAAAAAAAAGAGGTTTATTATTCTCGTTAGATATTATGCACTTCATTCTAGAAAAACATTGATTATATACATATAATTGAATAGCAGACGCAAGTGTTGCAAGCACAGCGAGGTGAAAAATCCATAGATCGCAAGAGTTCTATTTATTTAAAAAATAATTCCTGCGTAATTCTCTACCTATTTACACCACTGTTTCAACAAGTATTCTTATAGTAAGCATACAACTGCTGAATTATTTTTAAAATGCTTTACATCCTTTAGGGGAGTAAAGCGCAAGCAAATAACCAATTGATATTCGAAAAAGTTCTATTTAAAAACTCCCACATAATTTTATAATGATTTGTTGTAGCAAAAATTAAAAACAGAACTTCTTAAAACTTAATAAAAAAATTGATAAAGAAATTGTAGAGAACAAACAAAAAAAAGCCAATTTGATTTAACCCATTGGCTGTGTAAGAGAAATTTACTATTTGGGCCATAAGTGTTGAAAAAAAGTTTATCGGATTATTATGAAACTTGATACCCTTATGTTTTTTGGGTCTCTGAATCCAAATATGATGTCAGATTTACAAAATTCAAAATGGCGGGTCCAATATGGCGGATCAAAATTACAAAAAATATACGGAATTTTATTATTATTATTTTGAATTTTGTACATCTGACTTCGGATTCGTAATCAGCGACTTCAGAAACCCCCGAGTAACAAGTTTCAAGCAAATTCAGAAAGTTTTACTTTGTTTTTTCTACGTTGCGGCTATAGCCGTCAAACACACCTTGGCCACTTTTGTTTTTGCGGCTATAGCCGTCATACACAGTCAACGGGTTAATGATCGGAATTATTCTGCTCAACGTGTTAAAAGTTACATTGCTAATATTAGCTTTTCACGAAAAATAAGGTGTAGTTATATTTATGCAAAAATCCAGCACACTTGTTCATACGAAATTTAAATTGAATATTAGTTTCACAAATAGAACAATCAGTACATCTGTTTATACAAAGTTCGCGATAAATAACGTGCAGACAGTATTAACGTTGTATAATTTGTACATATTTCATTAAGTATGTATATATACATCCCATCCGAAATATCGGTATATCAGTGCGGTCTTGAATACTGTAACGAATGTACGAATATCGCGTCTTAAAACACTCTAAAAGACAGACCAAGAATGAAGATTTTAGTGTTCGCCGCGTGTATATTGGCAGCCGTCGTAAGAACTGACAATTAGTACCCAACTAATAATCTCCTTTCCGAGCCGTACATAACATAGATTCAATTAATCCTTAGATATCTTTCCGAACTCCATTTGAGCGTCCAATTAAAATTACATATCGCAAAAATGGTTTAATATCTAGATTTAAAAACTCATTAAAATATAATTCTCTAAAATAGCAAATCTCTATTCTCGATTACTTCTTGTAATGCAATAGATATTATTAGACCAACAATTTAAAGAATCATATGTAGATAGAACAAAGATATACAACAAAGAATGTCTTATGTTACTGAAATTTTCTCATTTTATAAATACCAAAACTGCGTGTAAAATAATCTGTATTTTACCAATGTTAAAGAGCTTCGAAGTTATCGTATGGAACAAATGCATTCAGTTGTTTTCTATAAGTAAAATAATTAAAAATTGTAATATAATATAGTGATATAAATAATAATAGTAAAATAATATTTTTAAAAGTAATTAATTTTTCTGTGGATTTCAGACGGTGGGTGATGCACAGTTAAATCACGATATTACAGAAACTACAACATCAAACGTATTCGACTCCAAAGCACTGATTGATTATCGTTTAATGTTTGCAGCATGCGCCGTGGAATTGGGTTTATTGAGTGAGTGTTTTAATTAAATAACAAATAATTATTAAACATTTTGTTAATATGCTTAAATAAACACAATAATAAAACTACACTCTATGTATATACGTATATAAGTATGTATGTATATATTTTGATCGGTACTGTATATACATATATGTATATAAATATACATAGAATATATACATAGAATATTCAGATGTTGCAGAGATTCCTCCCGAGCTACTCTACTGTATAGCACAAAAGGAAAATTTGGTAAGTAAATATATGTATTCAAATATACATATATGTATATATTTAAGAGAGACAAAGAAAGAGAGAGAGAGAATTAAATTCATAGACAAGATTTATCTAAATTATAATGCAACTTACATTTCGCAAAATTTCGAAACAAAGAAATAAGAATTAAATGAAAAAGCTTATCTTTAAAAATATTATTCCTGCCTTCATTATTATTATATATTTTCAAAGAATAAATTATTCATCAAAATTATTATTCTTACTCAGAAATCTTTTAAATATCTAATAATTTCATAGATACGTAATATAAAGATGTCATGAAACGAATGTTCTTTCTTTAAAGTCAATTATCTCGAAAAAAATTGCGTTAATAAAAAAAATGTTCCGAATAGAAAGTTTTTATTTTTGTCTCTATTATCATATAAAACAATAAAAAATGGGGGTTTCTATATAAAAAAAATTAAGTTGATCCTTGTTTGACCTATAGTAGCGCCAATTATGATAAAACGAATAGTGTCATCTTGTGTCCTCTTTGATTCCAAACAAGTTTTATCTAAAACATTTTTTTATATAATGCATATTTTATGAGATTTTTGTCATTAACATTATAAAAATGGTTCACCTTGGGTCTGTTTTCTATTGCTGAACTGACTGCACTAGTTCAGCGTTTATCTTTTTCCTTCCAATATGGAGTAAAATAGATAAACTCTGAGTGCAGCTAGTTCAGCAATAGAAAACAGATCCCTTATACAGCATATTTAAATATAAATTTTTTAACTTTTTTCATTTAATACTTTTTGATTCTAGATCGACAAAGAGGGTGGAATATTGTGGGACGAAAGTGTGAATTACGCTAAAAAACTCGTTCGTGACGAAAACATGTGGAATGAAACTTGGGATAAGTTAACAAAAAAGTGCAAAGAAGAATGTAATTAGTTTTATATATATATATATATATATATATATTATATATATATACGAAGTGATTCCGACCGTCCGTTCCAGCCGTTTTTCTCAGAAATGTGACATCGCAAGAAGGTAGAAAATATATTTTATGCAACACGTGCATGGAAAGTGCCCCATTACGCACGCTACGCGTGCGTGATAGACCACTTTCCAGGCACTTGCAACATAAAATAGGGAGTGTAAGTCGTGTGTAAAGATGAAAATTCCCGGGTGCGGAATTTACGCACGGGCCTTCAGCGTAAATCAATTCAAAATCATTCAAAAAAATTTTTCTCGAAACTTGTAAGAGATAATTGAAAAAAGTTTTAGTAAGAGTTGTTTCTTTTTGAAAACTCTATCCAGTGATACCCCAATCGATCCATGTTCCTATTTGAAATTTTAAACCTGATCCCAGTTACGCCTACTTCCGGTTTGTTCAGAAAAATAAAATCATCACTAATGATTACTTTAGGTGCCCATTAGTAATAAGAATTGTTTTCCTAACTTCCTGCGACGTCACATTTCTGAGAAAAACAGCTGGCACGATCACCCTGTATACTATATGTGCAATGTAATATGTGTATTATACATTTAATTTATAGTGCTGTAAAACAAATTTTTAACGCCTCTTTTTTTGCAGACGATAAGTTCGAAGGAAGCGGGTACGAAAAATCCTTGAAAACCATGGAATGCGGATTGCCATTTGTGAAATACATTATACAACAAAAAATGTTGTAAAATAAAATTTTTTCTGAAAATATGAAATACGTAATAAAAATATATGAAAATTATATATAACATAAAATGTTTGAATTAGGATATCATCTCTCCTTGAATACAAACATGGATTCCTGATAAGTAGAGATAACGATAAGAAAATTTAAATAATCTGTATATATAAAAGACCAAATGGCTAAAACAACAAAATCCGGAATAGAATAACAAATTAGTAATAAAAGAACACTAAATTTCTATTGATGTTTTATATGATTGTACTAAAACGGCTGCCAGCTTAATAGATTATAAGCTTTGTTTTGCTCGTAGTAAATATTGGCTTTTCACGAAATATAAGAATAGCGTAGTTTCACGCACGCAAAAATCCAGCACACATTTGTACGAAATATAAACAGAATATTACACTGATTTCACAGATAGAACAATCAGCAGATCTGTTTATACCAAGTACGCAATAAATAACGTGCAAACAGTATTAACGCTTTATAATTTGTACATATTTCATTAAGTATGTATATATACATCCCATCCGAAATATCGGCATATCAGTGTGGTCTTGGAACGCTGTAAAGAACGTACGAATATCACGTCTTAAAACACTCCAAGATAAACCAAGAATGAGGACTCTAGTGTTCGCCGCGTGTATACTGGCTGCCGTAGTAAGTACTGACAATTAGTAATATCTAACTAATAATATTTTTTCTGAACCACATCACATAACACAGATTCAGTCAATCCTTAGACATATTTCCGAAGATCCGCTCGAGCGTCCAATTAAAATTACATATCGTGAAAATTGTTTAAATTCTAGATTTAAAAACTCATTAAAATATAATTCTCTAAACTTAATAGCAAATCTCTGTCTTCGACTACTTCTCGTAATGCAATAGTGTTATTATTCATAGACCCAATAATTTAAGGAAACAAATATAGAACAAAGATATACTACAAATAATCTGTTATGTTACTGGAATTTTCTCACTTTATAAGTATCAAAACTACACGCAAAATAATATGTATTTTATCAAAGTTAAAGAGCTTCTAAGTTATCGTATGGAACAAATGCATTCAATTATTATCCATCTTATAAGTAAAATAATTAAAAATTGTAACATAATATACTGATACAAAAATAGTAAAATAATATTTTTAAAAGTAATTAAATTTTCTGTGAATTTCAGACGGTGTGTGTGGGTGATGCACAGTTAAATCACAATATCAAAGACACTATAATATCAAAGGTATTCGACATCAAAGAACTGATAGACTTTAATTTAGTGTTTGCAGAATGCGCCGTGGAATTGGGTTTATTGAGTGAGTGTTTTAATTAAATAACAAATAATTATTAAATATGTTGTTAATTTGCTTAAATAGACACAATAATAAAACTACACTATGTATATAAGATGTACGTATACTTTGACCGGTACTGTATATACATATATGTATACAAATATACACATAGA